TTACTTTGTATAATTTTTAATATACCATCTACTTTAGATAATACCTACTGATGATGCTTACTACTCATACTGTTACAGTGGTGTCTTCAATTTTTATATTGTATAACTTTAGGCTTTATTTTTAAGTTGACCGTTACCTTGTATAATTCTATTATAGCATTACCTTTAACTAATACCAACTGATGAGGGACTATTTTCTATTGGGAAAATAGTCCGAAATGCATTTTGGGTTTTCATTTTCACACTTGTGTAGTAATTTTTTGACTTTATTAAATTGTTTTCACTTTGATCCCTGAGCGTTTGTGCCCATCATTGGTCTGATAAGTCCTCACTATTATCTGCCTCATGGTTGTGGATAATTTAATTAATATAATTATATCAAGGGCTAGAAGCTACTCTTGTAATAATTTCATTTATACTTCACTTCTATAACTGGTAGTTTTTCAGCAAGTGATTTTTTTTCCCCACAAGCTTAATGAGATGATAATCCTGGAATATCAGATATCAATAAAAAATAAGGAATTTCATACACTTAACAGAAAATTTATACTAATCATAGAGGCAATGAGTTGTAAAGAGGGAATATACTGTGCCTCAAAAAAAAAATTATAACTGTTAATCCTTAATTATGGGAGTATAAATTTGATTCAAGTTTTCATTTTTCTAATATAAAAAACCAGCGATGATTTGCATAAATTTCCTGGCTGTTGTTAGTTTTTTTTAAAATAGCTTTTATATTATTAATCAAAATAAAATTGTATGTGGTGCAATCTGTTGCAAGATTTTGTTATAAACTTACTTTTTTAATTACAATAAAATGGCAAAAAGCTTAATCTTGAGGGTAGGGATGAGTTTTATAAAAAAATTTGTAAATGTATGATGATATTTGTTAAGTCCTACCTCTGTCAAGATATGACACGCAACACCATTATCACCCCACAACTTTTAACTACCAAAATTTAATAACATCCATGCCCCTCATATAAAAGCCACCACGCCAAGTTTCGTTATCTTTATCCCAAGATTAAGAATTAAGCAAAATAGATGTGCGCACAGAACTTTTTGACTTTTTTGGATTTGGGAGGTCTCAAAATATATCATTAAACTTTATATTATAAATGGATTTTTTCAAAACAAAAAAAATATTTACAAATCAGTGGCATAACTAGAATTAAATTAAGGATCTAAATTATCTTGCCATCAAAGTCTTAATATAAGCATGACCATGAATAAGTTGAGAGACTTTATTTGATGATGTAAATATTCTCATTCAATCAATATTTCTGAATGCCAAATTTATTTTAAAAGTAAAATGTTTTGAATATCTAAGAGTGGGATTCAAAAGTCTTACAATAGTGGCATAATAAAACAAACTGTCTTAAAATTATGTTTATGATATCTTTTACTGAATTTTGTATTTTATAAATAATAATAATTTCAAAATTTAAATCATATCTTTATTAATACTGTGTTGTAGTGTAATACAAAACTTAATACATAATTGAAGACCTGACTGTAAGAAATGCACTAGTCCATTTTTTTTAGAAATTCTAGTGGGTTGCTGGACTTGTGTATTTGTCACTAACCATATCAAAAGTGTGAGAAAAAATGCAGATCTCTCTGTTGTTCCTGCTGTTCTTGTGTAGAAAGCAAGTCGCCCTTTTTTTTACAACAAAATGTACGAGTCCACTACAACTAATTGACATTGCGAATTACGGGCGTGTGAGTGCTCGTAAACAAAAATGACTGCATCCACAAAGACAACGGAAATAGTAAAAAAGAATGAGAAAGCAAGAACAAAAGTATTCATTTTTATAATAATGCTACTTTAAAAAAAAAAATCATTAATTTAGCCATTTCCTGAAATGTTTCTTGTGACTTATTCAGACTGCAGTTTACCACCAAATATTATTACAATAAGTGACAAGAAAAATTTGAGGCACATCATAGATTATGGGCAGATATCTGACTCTTAGTGTTCATAGCACCCTTACCAGTAACAGGCAAAAC